ATAATGATCTCTTACTGCCAGCCTTGTAAACATTTTCCTGTCTGTAGCTTGCTTTCATACTGTTTCGTAATGTTCCGCGACAACTCACTCAAATGTATTTTATGTTAACTGTCTTCAACTTCATATTGACTGTACAATCGATTCGGTTACTTTGTATTAATAGGGCCCTCGAAGGCAGTCCTTGCCTGTAACCCTTCAAATATACATATACATGAAGTAAGCATGGCCGGTCACGAGCTAAATATGCCCAGAGTTATTAAGGATCATGGAATATTAATTCAAAAAACTCGTATTCTGTCAGAGCACTGTGCCCTAACTGTCTCCAAACTATGACATGCTACCGAATTTATCCAAGAAAAAACATTTTAAAACCATGAAGGTTAGAAATAACGTTTATAATATGTTCGTAAGACGTAGTCGTCTTGAATAATTCTCGTTTCCATTTAATCTGCTGCGTGCTAGTGAACAGAAGACAACATACTCTTCCAAAATTCCTTTGAAGAAGGAGGTTTCTCGTCAGAACACCGCAATATATCCTGCCAACATCCTTGTGAACTTACTAACATCGATTCCTCGTGGCCTTGCCGATTACACAAGGGGCTGTTTTTGCTTTAACGCTTTTAAGCAGTAGACCCTTTAATCTCCTTATTACTCTGAGGCAGCCCGACCACTTCTGGCACACCAGTCAGCGAGATGTCTTCTTATTTCTGCTTCTGGCATGCAAACTTAGATACTGCCAGTTTTTTTCACTAAATTTCAAAGTATTCTTGAAAAAGATACGCAAACGTACTAAATAAATATATAAATTTATATTTTAGGCCCGAAGGCCCTCGTCATTGCAAACTAAGGGCTGTGGAAAAATAAATACAAAATTGATAAATGCTGCTCTCCTTGGACAACCACATAGGCAGCGGGAGCGTTAGTAGTGTTGGCAGATAAAAATCATAATAATCAACCTATCGTCGTTTTAAAATAGTAGTCAACACACCATGAAAACGCATGGTGAACTAAGAAGGAGGCAGTGAAAAACAATTCCTACCATTCAACCGGGGGCAGAGTTCAGCGGACACTCGCTTAAAAAGAAAACAAAACGTAGGAGTAAAAAACTGCTTCTAAAGAATTAAGGAGGTTGGTCGATAGGATTGATTGTAGTGCAATGGGACAGGACTGTTTGTGGTAATGGGTTCCCAGGCTATTATTTGTGCCGGCCAGTCTCTTTGTGTTAGTTCAGCAAAGAGAACAACGAACAAGGTCGTGAGGGAAAGGAAGTCGTTTATTGCGTCCCTTGACGGGGACTATATGGAATTGAATATTATAGAAGCGTCCTTTTCGGATTGTGCCCTCATTCGCATAGGGCTTGATTGGCCACAACACGCGCGCGTTGGTTCTCGTGCATCGGGTGGCCTCGCAGGAGCGCGCGCATGGCTTTTATTCGCCGGCTTGTGTGGCCCTTGTCCTTTGTTCCTTATCTGTAGGCAGGAGGCCGATAACGTGACCTGACAGTTCGCTCGGGCCGGCTGTTATGAATAATCCCAACATTTCCCTTGTTTGAGATGAATCGTAGGATTTTAGACGCGAATTCACCTGCAACGGAACCGTTTGAGTTCTTCTTCGGCCTGATCATCTAAGGTATTGAGGATCTTGAATTTGCACTGTAACTGCGGTTTCTTGCCTTGGGTTAGGCAAATCGAAAGTGTCAAGTAGCAGTTCCCGGGATACATTTGGTCTTGAATTTGTCGCGTCAGTACATTCGGTGTGTTTCATCTGATTGCAGTCACCAAGACCGTCTTGAAAAACTGAAGCAATTTTCTCCTGTAGAGTCGATGTCAGCTTCGCAGCCAGCTGATTAGATGCTGCGGGACTCGTCCAAGTTGACTGCACACTATTGCAAATGTAGTTAAGTGGCAGTGCGAGGAGACCGAGCTTCTCGATCCAGTCGAGACCAATAAGGTTGAGGTTCGGACGCTTGGTGAGGTACAATGTTCCCTTGAATTGAGTCCCGTCAAAGGAAACGTCACATACGAGCTCACCCGTGAGCTGGAGAAATCCCCCAGAAACATTCCTGGCCTTTTTGTTTGATGTGATTACCGGAGGCCATCCAATCATCTGCCAAGGGCGCTGGGAGATGAGACTGATATCTGAGGCTGTATCGAGCTGGAGGCGCACTGGTTTGCCGTTGATGATAACCGTAAGACACTGCCTCCTGCCCTCAATTTTACTGTCGAACGTGGCTAGAATTGAGTAACACTTTAGCCCTGTGTACGATGAAGGGCGTTTGGGACTCCTTTTCTTCCAATGGCCGATCCTTGATTTGGAGTGTTGGCCTGCCGAGCAGTGATCTTCCTTATGTCCTTGCTTATTGCATTTCTGACAAACATGCTTCATAAATGGACAGGGGCGATGGAACATTAATCGCGCGCCCTTCGAAATCGGTTTGACTTTTTCGGACTCCAAGGG